GCTGGAGCAGCTCCCTGCCTGGGGCACACGGGGAGCTGCCCCTGCTCCCTCCTCCCCCCGCCCCAGTTACTGTTCAACCTTCACATCCCTAATACCTGGGCAATCACTTGTGGGGTGGGGAACTGGTTAGAAGCGTACTAGGAAATTCTCAGTCGGGCGTTGCAGCCAGGCAGAAGTCGGGTGGCTCCCCACCAGACAGAAGTGAGGTTCTCTGGCTTGGACCATGCGGGAGGCCCTATGGATCCTCCCTTCCGGCCTTCCTGGCTGCGACCAGCTCAGATCGGCTCTGTCCCCTTCCGGGAAGCGGTGACGGACCACGGCGCTGGACTGGTCCAGCCTCTGTGCTCCTGCGCAGGATTGCAATGCTCCTTCTGCACAGAGGGCTGAATCCCAGCCTGTCATTCTAGCCCTGGCCGGGCTCCGTGTGCCCACCGGGGGGTTGATCAGAGCCGAGCCCAGCGTCATGGGGAAGAGCATGGCCCCGAGGGAGTCAATAGCCTTGCCCCATTCAGACCATGTTGCCGAGCCTTGCAGATTTATGGGAGTCTTGCAGCATGCGGCGTTTTGCCTCCTGGAATCAAAGGATGCCGGGGAAATGTCGGCTTGTCTCTATCGCCCCAGGCTGCTCAGAACCCAGAAGGCAAAGAATCAGAACGTGACGTTTATGGTAATTTTCCGATCTCGCAATCTATCTCGTGATTTTGGACACTTGGCGTTGGGCGTCCCCGCGCTGCTGCTGCCATTCGTTTCTCCTCCTTCGGCCCCTTCCTTGTCTCGACATGTCGGCTGTGTCCTTCCTTCTGCGTTTCCTCTCCGGCAGCAGGCCCCTGCCTCCCCCCGGCCTCCTGTGAGTTTCGCTCTGGAAATGATCAGCCATTAAAGAGTTAATGTGGCCAGTAAAGTGTCCCCCAAGGTCTGTAGTGTCAAACCCTCCCCCCAGGTGTTAAGGGGGGAGTTGGCGTCTCCACACGTCTCAGGGTGTCCACTTTCCTTTGCAATCCAGCCAGGGCACTCGGCTTGAGCTACCGCGCCCAGCTCGGCTACAAACTGCCCCCGGGTCTGGTTGTGCAGCGAGAAAACCTTTTAAAAAATCCCCGCAGCCGTCTCCCAGCCCAGGTCACCTAATTCAGACTCACGCTGCAGGGCTAAAACCAGCTGTGAACGGTTCCAAGAGGGAGGCTCTGAAACCCTCCCGCATCGCTGGCCCAAGCCGGAAAGCCCACGCTAGCCCCACCGCAGGAGCCCCGGTTATTGGCCTGGGCTCTGAGGTTCACTGTGGTGCTGGTGTCTTTCCCGGTGGACGTGCCCTGAACCTGTCACCCTTCGGGGCTTGTACCCGCCGCCACTTGCGTCGGTGTAGCTCTTGGGGTGTGAATATGCCACACACACACCCTGAGTTACACTGACCGAAGCGCCGGCGTTGACACTGCTGTGCTGGCAGGAAAGCTTGTCCCACCAACAAAGCTACCGCTGCTTGCGGAGATGGTTTTACAAGTTGGACCTCCCTGGTCCAGCACCCTCAGGAGTTTGCCGGACGAGGGGAGGTCAATTCTGGCCCTTCTGCAGGTGGAGCCTGGGGTCTCCCAGGTCCATCAGCAGACCCAGCTGGGCTTCCCTCTGGGTTCCACACTCCCAGCTGGCTCTGCTGCTGGCCTGGCCACCGTTCTGGCTCCCCTCCCTTGGGCCACTGGCTCCAGCCAGGCTGTGTTGATGGTCCTGCCCCAGCCTCATGGCCCCCAGGCTGGCTCCATTGCCAGCCCCAGCGCCAGGCTCCCAGCTCTTCTCCCAGCCACCAGCTCGCCAATCCCGCTTCCCACCACCTGACTCCCAGCGGCCAAGGCCCATGGAGCTCCTTGGTCCAGCAGCATCCCAGAGAGTCCCGGCCCAGAGAGGTTCAACATGGCGCATCTTCACCAGACGGCACCGATGTCACGCTTCTGGTGGAGACTAACCTGGGTCTGTGTCCCCCATCTGTGCAGTGGGGATGTTGGTCCCTACAGGGCAGGTGCTGAGGATACATTAGAATCATAGAATAGAATCATAGAATAATAGGACTGGAAGGGACCTCGAGAGGTCATCGAGTCCAGCCCCCCGCCCTCAAGGCAGGACCAAGCTCCGTCTACACCATC